ATATATATATATATTTTAATCTTTTTGTCTCTCTCCATTTTTTTAAAATTAAGGTATTACAATTGTGATGGTGTTGATGGGTGGTGGTGTAGTGACGATGGTGGTGTGGTGTTGATGTGGTGGTGCGGACGACGATGCAAGGGTACGGTGGTATTGGCGGCGTGAATCTGTATGGGCGATGATGTAAGGATGTGGTGGTATTGGTGAAGTGGATCTGGCGATTTTGGTTGCTGTGAATCTGTGATGGTGTTAATGGTGGTGTGGTGTTGATGTGATGGTGCGAACGACGATGCAAGGGTGTTGTGGTATTGGCGGCGTGGTGGTGTGCATTGTTGGCCAGTTTGTTGTGAGGTGGTGGGTGGCTCTATGGCGATGGTGTTTGATGGTGGTACGGCGAGTAGTTCTTATGGCATCCATTCTTTGATTTTTGGTGTTAGGTATTTGCTTGGTGGTGTTTGTGATTTTAGTTGCGGCAGTGATGGATTTGTTGCGATGATGGTGGATGTCGAATGACTATATGGTGGTGTTTTCTACTATTTGTTGATTTGCTTGAGGTAGTGGTATCGATGTCAAGACGTGGTTATGGTTCTGGCAGTGATGGTGATGATGGTATTGCTAGAGGTGGTGGTGAGATGGTGATCACAAATTATTTTTTTAATCTATAACCATTAAATTGATCAATCAGTGACCAATAAGTAATATGTGAATAATAATATTAAAATTGTGATCAAGAAATAATGCATCATCTAAAAAATTTTTAATTTGTAACCGATAATTTGATAATATTTGACTTATAATATTTGTGATCTGTGACCGATTAAAAAGTTTTGACCTATATATTTTTTATTTGTGACCGACGGACAAATTGTGATCAATAAAAATTTTAAATTGTAACCGTAAAATAATTTGTCATATAAAAATTTTAATTTGTGACCGAAAAATAATATGTAACTAACAAAATTTTTAATCCGTGACCAAATTGTATAGATCTATGACCTTAATTATTTAATTAATAAAATATATAATTAATCAATTAAATTATAAATAAATTTTAATGAATATGATTTTTAAAATTTGAAACTTCTATTTTCACTTTTTAAAATGGACAATAGTTATCCTCTTAGTTATGAAATTTTTCCTAGATTCAATCCTAGAAGGAAGCCCTCCGAAAAAATTCAATCTAGCCATAGGCTATCAACGTCGAATTTTATTATGTTCACTGCATCACTGCTGTTTTTTTAGCCACTTATGCACCCCCTATATTTAGTTAAACAAAAGAATCCTAGATAAGAGCCAAATTAGTTTATTTCCTAGGAACTTAGTTAACACAACCTTTGGATTGGTATACATCCCATGAACCTTTATTTATCTCAAACTACAAAAGATAGGCTAATATCATTCCAAGCAATAATGAAATCTAAGCAACGACGATTTGAAATTCCCTTTCCTAGCCTAATGTCCCAAATTTTAAATCTGTTAGACAATTTGTTGTCAGACGACTTCTCGGACGATGATGTAAATCCGATTTAATTTCTTAGTCGACTTTGACCATATGACTGAACGATATATCAATACCCAAATTAAAACGACCCAATCCAAGAAATTGATTGAATCATTTGAAGCGACCAATTAAGTTGAGTTGCTCATGGGGCGATTATTTACCTGCTTGGATGACTAGTATTGCAAGAGGCCCACTATACAACCAAATTAATATCTATTGGGCTCATGACCCATTAGTTTTACCTAATGGACTTACCATTCTTATGCAATTGGGTACCTATATATTCTTGTATTATTCTTGGCCTCCTTAACACCGTATTATTCTTGGGCTTTCTTGCATGGTTTCTCTTTGCCATTTTCTGCCTCCCTCTTCACTGTGCCTTTGTGGTTCTTTTCTTGGTGCTTTGACATTCCTTTGTAGTGTTGTCTAAATGAGTAAACATTTAACAACCATAGGTGGAGACTTTGAGGTGTTCTTAGGTCATTTGGTATGTGGTGTTGATTTGGATTTGGCAAATTAAGCCTGCAAAAACCTTGGTGGTTGGCAATTAGTGGCTCTACAAAATCTTTGACATTTCTATTGTTTGAGCACCATGAAAGGGATTTCACGTCTATGTTGCTTCTTCTTGAAAGGGTAAAAAGAAAAAAGTCTTAAACCACTAAACAATGAATCGACTTGTTGGAGAGTTTTCGTTTGTCTTTTTATGGTAATTCTTAGCTGTGTAAATAAAAAACATACATGATCAAGCTTGAAGGAAAGAAAAATAAAATTAACTCCTCACCTTAAGTTCCATCTTAAAATATCAATATTGTTAAGATGAGTTCATATGATTAAATTCTTGTATGTTTGCTATTATTGTCATATTTAGTTGATGCGAATTTTACTTTTAACATGCTTTAATAAATGGTGGCTTTTTTGTTAGTACCAATATCTTAGTAATCCTAAAAACAATCAAGATCTTATTAAAATCTTGAAAACGTCATTAAATACTATGAAAATATCAATTGAAACAACAATCCAAGAAGAAGAAAAATGACATTATGTGACATTTCAAAATGAATTTTGTTATAGATACCCGGAGTTTGACAGGTTGCCACCGTTGCCTGCTACTCACATGAGGATCGAGGCCCACACCAATAAATGTGCGAGGCCCGACCCCCTCACTCACACATTGGGTAGAAATGGATTATTCCTTCCAAAATTTATACCAAAGATTGGGGACGGTAGCTGTACCTAGGAGTAGGTCAGTAATGGAAGACATAGACATTGTACTCTACAATGGCATCCCCGGTTTGTAAATTAAATTGGTGAGTCTTTGCCTGAGCGTAGCCACGAGCATATCGGAAAAGCCCACTTCCGCCGACAATCGGCATCTCCCTCACGGCGGAGAGCACGTTGTTCCTCCCCAACACACTGAGGGTACTACCATTGTACTTGCCTTCAACAAAAGCGAAGTTCAAAACCATCAAAAGCCCTACTTCATCCAAATCTACCGATGCATAAATGCCTTGTGCCCTTCCAACAAGTTTGGAGGTCATGCTTGGGCCAACTGTCAAAGGATCGTCAATCATTATCACCGCCCCGAACAAGGTGGAAGAGGTGTTCGTCATGGCGGCTGAAGCCACTTGGACGGCGGTGGGATTTCGACCGCTGAGTATGTCATGGAAGTAGAAGTGAAGGTGGCTTAGTTTTTCTCTTTTGAGGCCAAACTCTTTCTTTGATGATTTTCTTGAAAATTCTTGACAATTATATCCCGGGATTATGAAGCTTGAGAGAAATAAAATGGAGAAAATGAGTTTTAGGACTGCAATGGCCATGGTGGAAATTAAAGGTTGGTTGTGTAGAGAGGGATTTCAGTAGATGATAAGGATGGCATTAATTAGCTTGAAGGTCCTATTATATATGCAAGGAAGATTCTCATTGATTGGTCACAAATTCGATTCCTCTTATCAACACTTTCTCAATTGAGCATGTTGAATCGGGTTTGCCTAGTGTGATTTACCTGACTGACATAATTTGTAGGCTATTGTATCAGCCCGAAAATTTACCCAGCACGTACCCGAAGAATAGCGACGACGGATTTCCCCATCATATAAAAAAAAAAAAAAAAAATTTACCTTTGATACTTTTCGAAAGGAAAAGTTCGTCCACGGGACTATTCAA